GCCCTGCCGAGTCACCGAGATCAAGGGACACAAAGTCGTCGCCCAATCCATCTGGCACAAAGACCTAGTCTACGAATCCCCACTGTCCGAGGTCCTCAAGGTCACACACTCACCGACCGACCTCCGAACACTCACCGCACAAGAAATCAACGCGGACCGCACCCAGCACATCCCTCTGGGGACTAATCCACGCCACCGAGCAAACCCCTACGACCAACGACCCCGCGCTGCGCGTAGCGTCCGCAAGACAACTGAGAAGCCCCCTCGGACCCCTGCGGGACGAGGAAGGACATCCCCAGACGCGGACGCCGGGGAAAATACCAACGAAGCAAGGTTCCACTTCGCCCTAGTGCGGCGGGCATGAGCGCAAAAAAAACCGGGGAGGTTGAGTCGTGTAACCACTCAGCCACGTGCCTAGGGAAGCTCTCCCCCGGGCGACACAACGACCACGCAGCAAAGATAGCGCCGAATAAGTTTTTATCTTTCTTTTGGGGTTCAACTCCACTCGCCTTCAATCTTCAGTTCTCTCGCTATCATCATCCTTCAAGCCATCATAGCATCGTCGCCATGGACCAGCCTTCAGTCAGTCGCGCGCCCTCACCTCGAAACAATGACAGCGTTGGAAATGCTGACCACAAAGACGTAACAGATAGTAAGCTTTTTTTGGTATAAGAACAGGGGGACTTTTTTGGGGAAGTACGGTTACGTAAAGACCCGTTTTTGAGCTGGGGGGACGGTCGAGTGTTAGAATGGCAGTGCGCTAACATGACAGTCCTCCCGTCCCTCCTCCCGTCCCTTGCAGTGAAGAAGATCTGATCTCAGGAAAGGGGTCTTCTTATTTCGACCAGAGAGGGGTAAATTTTGGTGTTGATTTATATGTGGGGAGTGAACTGTGTTGCCGTGTGGTTGAGTGGCTTATTGTTGGTTCGAGGACATAGTCTGCCGCCGTTTAGTTACGTGCACGAGCAGCCGCCAGCGTTGCCGGATATTTTCATGAAGCCTCGATGTTCGGATTACAGTTACATCAATGTGATGTACCATACTCAATCTAATGCTACGGATGAGCGTCAGTCATTACGGGAGTGGGTGACGATATTAAATAAGCGATTATGCTTGTGGGTGATGCAGCAAAATGCGTCGTCGGACACCCGTGCGTTACGACCATGTCCGGTGCTTGTGCGTCCTGTGTTTCCTACGGGTCGAAATGTGGAGTGTGGAGAGCGGTTGATACGTCGTGGCGAGAGATTACAACGATTGGGGCCAGTGGCGTATGACCCTAATTCTTTGGATGGCGACGGCTGTCATTGGGATAGTCAGTTGGTTACCGAACAACTGAAGCATGGTGACCTAATAATAGCTAACTATGCCGACCAGTACCGCGCCCTTGCCGTCAAATCATCTCTTATGTATCGAGCTGTCGCCGATTGTTCGCCTGAATGGACTGCAGAATTTGCCGGATTGAGCGGCGCTCGTCCCACACTTTTGCCCAATGATGAAATCTTCCGCCACGTCGACTTTACCTACCCGCGATGGTTCGTGAAGACTGACAGCGACATGATACTCAACCTACCAGCCGTCTTTCACTATCTCAAGGCCTGGGACGCAATAGACCTATTCCGACAAAATCAAATCGATATACGTCAAGTACACTCACAGCTCGAAGCAAGACGACAACTTGATCAGGCCGCACACGCAGAACGGCGACCTCCTCCATCGGGCGTTCCATCGGGGGCTGTGCAACGTGCTAGTCTGACACCGGAGATCATGATGTCACGATCACGCCGCGTTCACTTTTGGCTTGGTAAAAGACAGCGGGACAATGGAGTGAAGCGTGACCCCACCCATAAAAATCGAGAAGAGGTATGGATGTTAAATCAATACCCACCTTATACATATGGCAGTTTCTACGCTATGACTGATCATCTACTTGAGGCGGTGGCGGCAGCATATGTTCAGAACCGTACGGCGTATAGCAATGAAGATACGCAACTTGGCATTATCGTGGACAAGCTCAACCATTGGCCGACAGAAAACAAAACGCAGTGGGATTTGGACGTCGTCGGTAACCTTTCAGGCATCGTTCGTCCGCAACATGAAACACATATCGCATCAATACTGCGCTTCGAACAACTTCAGAGCGCCTGCGGCTCAGAGTTCTTCCTCGATCCCGCCGCCGAGGCCAAACTCCTGGCTGCCGCCAAAGGCGCTCCCGTCCGGCTTCCAAGAAAGTACGCCAGACGGCCGCGAAACCCAAATCAAAAAATCGTTTCCAGCATCGCACAATGCGACTGCAACCGCTGGCTCGCATCCTTCCGGACCACCAAAGACGACTCTGTTGACATGGAAGACGCCGTTGTCAACTGCCCCATTCAAGACCACTGGCTAACACCCCTCCTTCAAATCAACCAGGTCTAGTTAGCCAGGTCTAGTTAGCCAGGTCTAATAACCAGGTCTAGTTTTTACGCTTCCTGCACCGCCTGGCGCCACCCCCGCACTGTGCCCAGGTTAGATTTATGTTGTTCTTAACTTAATGACTCTCCTAATGATGCTCCTGAGGGTGCTCCTAATGATACTTTTTCCCGCCCTCGCGATAGTTCTGCCCATTGACACCAACCAGACGTCCTTCAACTCTGCTGCCACAGCTATCTCGGTCACCGCGGCGGGTGCTGCGGCGGGTCGAATTGAGGACTTTCCGAATCCGGTTTGGACGGCTCCGCCCTGCGAACAATTGCGTCCGAGGTTGCTGATGTTGTATACCAGAACTGATCGACAAGCCGCGAGAGCAGCCATTTATAGGAACGTTACAGCCGCCCTGGAGCGGCTTGACTTGGTTGATAAGTATTCCTTAATCTTCCCGGTCGGGCTTACGGAAAGTTGTTCGGAAGTTGTGCCGGATTCAGAGCTTCGTCGACGACTGGCATCAGTCGATGCCAACGACTGCGTTTACTCTCGAGAGGAAGAGAGGGGCTACAACATCTTAGGGGCTGACTATGTGGATCGTTACGACACGTTATACAACAAGTCAGGTTCTGTCCTGAATTTTGCGAACGCGTGTGCTAAATATTTCCGGTGGTTGATAAAGGTCGATGACGATATGAACATTCACTACTCTGCATTGGACCTTTTCTTAGACTCACTGGACACGCTGATCGGCTCTGTAACGGTAAAGCCGCGGTACTTATGGATGGGGATGGAGTGGAAGAATTTGCTCGTGTTAACCGAAGGACCGAATGCGGAACATGCATACACGGCTTACAATTACCCGCCTTTCATGAGCGGCCCTTTCTACATCATGGGAGCAGATACCGCCTCCATATTATACCAGGAAATGAAGCGCAATAATACTGTGTACCGTAATGAAGATGCGATGATGGGTATTCTGGCGGACAATTTGCGTAATCTAAATCCTAGTGTTAACTTATTAAGCTTAGACCATTCCGAATTCATTACTAATCATCTTGGGAAATGGCTTCACGAGAGAGTCTGTCCTCGCTACAATGATCTATACAAACCCAACTACGACCATGCTGTGCCATGCCACTGTGAGAAAACAATCGCATTTCCAAATGTTCAAGAAATCGATAACATTCTTAATCGAGATTGTGAACTGGACTTCAACTGGTCAGCGTACTGGAGCTCACTTTTCCAAGATACTCTACACTACTTCTAATCGTACCCTCCCGAACTTTATTTCGTATTCTGTGAATATCTATTCATCAAAGAATCGTACACTTGCAACGCGCTCTTGTCATACTTCCGCTTGATAAGGTGCCGGATAGAAGACGCTTTGTAAAGTTCATTCTTTAAACCATGCTCTGCAAACCATTTTAGAAACTCGTCTCCACTCAAGTCCTACACATTCATGCAAGGGTTAATTTGTACAATGGTAGGTGATCATTACGGAGGG